GCTCTCCATGGTGTGTGTATTTGATATGCCAAAAACAGTAACAATAAGTCTCACACTGGAGACTGGTTACTGATGCCCGCTCGAGCAAATCGATGAACAATGGGAGGACAGTACTACAGTGCTACTTAATGGAAATTGTTTCTTTGAGCAAGTTGTTCACTACTTTAATTTTTCCCCTTTTTTGCTGCTCTTCCCCCAAATTTCGGCCAGTGAGCCCAGCAAGCAGCCACAGTGAACTGGAAGTCTCCTTTTGGGCTAAGGTGCCCATGTGAGCACCTACATCAGAAGGGACTCCCCTCAGTTTTAGAAGTACACTGGAAGTAGAACTCTGCCCCCAAATTTATATTTTGGTCAACAGAAATCAGCATTCCAAATTTGATAGAAATGAAGTCATAAATATAGCGAACGCTTATTTCTTTCTCCATAGCTTAGTTCCCGCCCATGCGCTGCACAGAAATTCTAAAATGAATCCCGAAAAGTCTGAAGTCCAATAGCCTTGATCAAATCCTGGCGCCACTCGTTGTACTAGTGTGACATTCAAGTTTTTTAATTTTTTGGTTCGTCAGTCTCCTCTATAAATTGGAAGTAATGATGGTAGCTACTTAATAGACTACTGTGAATTTTAAATAACAAATGCAGATATGCTTCTTATATTCAGACCTGGTAGAAGTAAACACAGCTTTGCTCTTATTACCTACCATTTTTGAAGGTGGGCATGTCCCAAGTGGTGCTTGAGAGGTTCCTGGGGCACCTTCCAGTGCTGCTCAGACCCTATGGTGCCTGGAAGGGAGCACTCAGCTTGGAGGACACCAGGGCTATACACGAGAAAGGAGATGTTGGGAACCAAGTTGGGGTTGGCTGCATGTGATGTGTGAAGCTTAGCCCCTGTGCTATCCCTTCAGTTCTTAATATCACTCTTTTTTTTTGTTTGTTTTATTTTATTGGCCACCATATCCAGCTCTGCTCAGAACTTACTTCTGGCTCTTTGCTCAAAGAATCACTCCTGGCTAGACTCGGGGTACCATATGGGGTACAGGGGATTCTACCTGTTTGGTTATAGGCAAGGCAAGTTCCTACACCCTGTTCTATCTCTCTAGTTCCTTATAACTCCTTCAGAGAATAGAAAAGATCGTAGAGTTTACTCATTTTTATAATTTACTGCTATTTTAAAGAATACAGTATGAATAAACATGATAATTACGATTAAATAAAGATATATTAATGAATGAGTAATGGTTTGGAAGCAGAGTCAATCTGAATGTAGAGTTCTATTGCTTTGTGTAATGTCGAGTTCTCTTAAATGTTGTGTGACTAAACTTGGGTGATTTATTTAAGATCTCTACCAATTTCATAAATTATAAAATTGCCTGTATATTCTTCTTTGAAAAGGCTTAAGAGACAAATGTGTAAATGTAAAACATGGGGAAAAGAGGGATCGAAAGTTCCAGTCGTATTTTTTTCTTGCATTCTGTAATCAGTTGTTCTTTAGGAACCAGAAGATTTTCTGGGAAGTGGGAGAAATCTTAGAATTCCAGGTAGAGAAAAGGAAATGTGGGTGTGACTATCGGGAGCCTCACTCCCTTGCTGAGGACTTGCTCATTCCAAAATCCATGAGCCAAGTTAAACAGACCTGTTTGGAGCTTCAATCTTCACTGTCTTTAAAGAATGTCATTTACTAATTCTGTTTGCTCTGTTCTTGAATATTAATACTAGATCCTACAAAACATTTTGTCCCTAAAAGGAATAAATTAATTTGATTAAGTGCTAGATCTAACACCAACTCTAGACTAGTTTGTCTTTTTTGTTGTGTTATCATTTCTCCCTGAATTAAGAATATTCTCCTTGGGACCAAGTATTTGTTCCTTCAGATTTGGTGATTTTGGTTTACAGTTTAAATGATTTTAAAGATAGGAGGCTGAATCACCTGTTCTGTTCTTTTATTATCAAATCCTTACAATTTTGAGATTTGGGTTCTGAAATAGTTGCCCAAAGGCATGGGAGGGGAGTCTTTCAGAATATAAACATGCAATTTTGTTTTCTTTCTTCTTGTTATGGAGAAGAGCTCATTCGCTTCCTGACATAGAATCCAAACTCTTCAGCACTGGGTTTTATGAGAAATTTTTTATTGAGTAATTGAAAAGCAAGTACACAGGCATGGCTCAAATCCTTCTCACCAATGATGAGATGTGGGAGGCAGTAGTGGGGTGTGGATGGTTTATGAGGTAGGAGATAAGATAAATATAGGAAATCCTGGAAAAAAGTGATTTGGAGAAAGCTGATTGCAGAGCTCTGAGTCAGTCTATATAAGGTGACCTGGCCAGATTCTCACATGGGACTTGTGGCTGTGGAATGAGTCTGGCCAGATTAGTAGAGTCTTTCTGTTGTGCAGACCTGTTGAATTCTGGTTTACCTGGAAACTGGAAGCACCCACAGAACCCTTCCCGTGACCATCATAGGCATTCTAGCTCTGAAAACAACATGTGCAAAAACGTTTGTTTCTATTTAAACTAGTTTGAGGTAGTTCTCATCTGCAGTCACACTATTTTGTGAAACGTATCGAACCATTGAAACAGTTTATTGGGTGCAGAACTAAAGCACAGTGGGTAAGGTGCGTGCCTTGCATGCCAGCAGCTGAGCAGGGTTTCATCCCACGCCACACACAGTGCCCCAAGCCTAGCCAGGTCTCGTCCCCGAGGCCAGAGCCGGGAGTGAGTCCTGAGAACCACCAGGTATGATCCCCAACCAAAAGAATAAAAGCCAGCTCTCCAAAAAATAAGCAATTTATTGATACTTATCCCATCTGGGAACACTTGGAGTCACATTTGCTTTTATTCCCCCCTCCAGTTTTTTATTTTTCTAATGATTTAATCATCTTGCAAGCTACTATGAAAAGTAAATATATTTTAAAGATACTGATATTACTCAGTGTGAATAGAGGAATTGTTCAGTGCCCTGAATGCCTGGACCAAGGGTTTCAAATATCAAAGTATTTTATATTTGTGTTTTTTAAAGCTAATTGTATTGCTTTACCGTTCTAAAGCCTGTCCAGTACAGGCTCATGCCTTGGTAGGTGTGCCTTACTCTTGTTACAGTTCCTCACTCTCATTACAGTTCCTCACTCTTGTTACAGTTCCTCACTCTTATTACATCCCACCAGTGTGTTTGGTCCGGAGAACCAGAAGGTTACACAGTTCCTTATTCTTTCCTTTCTTATGACCAGCTCCATTTTGTATGCATCAGACTTCAGTGACTGTGATGGGTTCCAGATCTCCCCCCAGGCCCCGCTGTTGGTATTTACTATCTTTAGGGGCCTACTCTGATGACAGGCTGGCCTGGGATTCAAGGGAAGGAGTCCCTGCCTTCTAAGTATTGGCAGTCTTCTCTTTGCAGAACCAGAGGTCTGTGACAGGGAGAAACAGAGTGCGTGCGTGTGTGTGTGTGTGTGTGTGTGTGTGTGTGTGTGTGTGTTGGGGGCTGGGTACCTATCATTCTGTGTCTGAAAATCACTGCTATTCAGAGGCTAGTCACAGTGCCTGGCCTCCTATGGCCTTCCCTCTGTGAGAAATCCCTGGGCCCGAAGAGATAACTGGCCCTTTTTTTTTTTTTTTTTTTTTTTTTCTTTTTGGTCACATTGCTTTGTGATGCTCAGGGGTTACTCCTGGCTCTATGCTCAGTAATCACTCCTGGCGGTGTTCGGGGGAACTTATGGGATGCTGGGGATTGAACCCCGGATTCGCTGCATGCAAGGCAAACACCCTACCCACTATGCTATGGCTCCAGCCCTGAGGCAGGCCCTTCTTGCTCTCTAATTTATGCCTGCTTCCTTTAAGCAGCTGCTGTAGCTCTCACTGACTTCTTCCTCACTTCAGGAAGACCAGAGTCCTTATCAACCTACTTTCCAAAATTCACTTCTTCGGTACTCAGTCTGATGTGAAATGTAGGCTATCCAGAGTTTCTCGTTTAATTTTTTTTTCTTTATTATCAGAACTTTTTTCCCTGACGTGGCCTATATGTCACGTTTTTATGAGGATGCCCCTGTCAAGGTCTTTTGGTATTTTTAATAAAAATCATCAAAATGTATTATTATTTTTTAACTCCTAGCCACAGGCTGGCAACTCTGGGAGATAAGGGGTAAAATGCAGGTTCCTCTCCAGGGAAATCATTGTGATTCTGCTGCCATAGTTTGGGTGAGGCGCTACTTCATAATTCAGACTTTTCCCTTTCAGATGAATGAATGGAATTTTATTGGTTTCAACCACATAAATTAAGGTTTTTAAAGGAATGAAACTGTCAAAAATATGTTTGATGTATAATTTGTCTAGTCAATAGTAGTATGACTTCATCACTTGAAAACACACAGTAAGCAAGAAAATGAACAGTCTTTAAACCCAGTGAAATTTAGGCATAAAGTTAAAACAGGAACAAGGTTATGTGTGCAGAATTTTTCTGCTTTTAAGCTTCTTAATAGAAAGGAAGCTTCTGTTGTTGTTTGGGGGTTTTGTTTGTTTTTTGCTGTTTATTGTTGGTTTGGGACCACATCCTGTGATGTCAGGTTTACTCCTGGTTCTGCATTTACTCCCAGCAGTGCTCAGGAGACCATCTGGGATGCTGAGTTTTAACCCAGGTCAGCTGCATGCAACCGAACACTTTACCTGCTGTGTAAACACTTGCAACCGAACACTTTACCTGCTCTCCAACTTAGGAAAGAAGCTTTTTCAGAAAGAAGGGGAAAAGCTAAAATAACATTACAATGGGTTTATTCTCTGATTCCATATTTTGTTTTGATTTTGTGCTGGATATGGAATAGAGGGGGACAATAAAAGATAACCCCTTGTCATTTTGAAAATCGAATATAATGTGTGATCACTTCATAAGGCGTAGTACTATACGCACGCTTGTTAGCCTTCAGCCCATATCTTTGATGCTGAATTTTATTAGAAAGCACCCAGGAAGGAAAATATGCATTTCTCACATTCACTAGGAACCCTCTCTTTCTCCAGGCATATTTGGACAGAAGCTGGAAGACACTGTCCGGTATGAAAAAAGATACGGGAACCGCCTGGCCCCCATGCTGGTGGAACAGTGTGTGGGCTTTATCCGGCAAAGGGGCCTCAAAGAAGAGGGTCTCTTCCGGCTGCCAGGCCAGGCCAACCTCGTGAAGGAGCTCCAGGATGCCTTCGACTGTGGCGAGAAACCAGCATTTGACAGGTAGAGTACAAAATTTTACTAGGCATCCTTCCCCACAAACCCCAAGGCAATGGAAAATACTGGTGGGTTGAAATCCCTTCGTTGGTATCACAGTTTAGAAGATGAAACTCATATGAAGGTTGTTTACTTTTATTATGTTAAGGAAGTTATTGTATCATACTTTGTCTTTTGCTTACTTATGCTGTTCCCCACTTTAAACAATATTTCTTTGCTCCCTTTGGTTTGAAAATAAAGGTCCAAGCTTTCACAGTGGAAAGTTGAACTTTTAATGTAGTATGCTGATCACATTGTATTAGCATACTCTTGGTTTATAATTTTGTTTCTGGACTACAACTTCACTCCTTGATATGTGTGCATACATATGTATGTATCTATATGACACATATATATTATATATAATATATCATGATCACGACCACCCTGTTGTTCGTCGATTGCCTCGAGCAGGTGCCAGTAACATCTTCTTCATCCTAGCCCTGAGATTTTTTTTTTTAAAGTGCCATATTCAAGGCTTTTTCAGGGTTAGGAGAATGAGACCCATCATTGTTACTGGTATTTGGCATATTGGGTATACCACGGGGAGTTTGCCAGACTCTGCCGAGTGGGCAGGTTACATTTGGTAGCCTGCCAGTTTGTCCAAAGTAGGAATGAGATGATAATATGTTGCGCGGCCGCATTTGCGGCCGCGTGCTTCCGGGAGCTGAGTGTGATAATCTCTGGATCTTGGCCGTTGTTGGAGTTACACGGCAGTTGGTGGGTGTAACTGTCTAGTTACTGGCAGGTCCAGTCCCAAACCGTGCAGGCTTGGAGATCTCAGCCCCGGGTCTCACACACCTGGGTTCCTCTGCCAGTTCTTTTATGCGTGAGGTTCATCCAAGTGTGTGGAGAGTGGTCCCAGCATGGCCTTGGCTGGGCCCCGGAGGTCTTCAGCTGTTGGGCCCTGGTGGAGACAGTCAGGCACAGGGTAGAAGACTCTGCCTTGTTCTCTATATATCATATATATTATATCATATATAATCACGATCACAGTCATCCTGTTCATCAATTTCCTTGAGCAGGCACCAGTAACGTCTCCTTCGTCCTAGCCCTTGAGATTTTAGAAAGTGCCATATTCAAGGCACTTTCAGGGTCAGGAGAATGAGACCCATCCACGTTACTGGTATTTAGCATATTGAGTACACCCCGGGGAGTTTGCCAGACTCTGCCATGTGGGCAGGATGCTTTCGGTAGCATATATTACATATTATATTAATAATGTTTTATATAATATATAAAATCACTGCAGCTATTGCCATCCACAATAACCAGTCTTGTTGGCATCCACACTGATATGTTGACCCATATCAATATGTCTCTCATCCCTGCCTCCACTTCTCTAGTAAGCAACCTCTTAAAATATAAGAGATCTTTGTTTTGTTCTGTTGGGGCTATACCCAGCCTTTACTCAAGGCTTGCCCCTGGTTCTGTGCTCAGAGATCACTCCTGATGGGGCTAAGTGTGCCAGGGATCAAAATTGGGACAGTCACATGCAAGGCAAGTTCCCTACCCACCGTACTATTGTTCCAGCACCACACAATCTACAGGATCCTTTGTTTTGTGCCTTGTTCCTTTGCTCCCATGACGTAGGTTCCATGCCTGAGTGAAACCATCCAGTCACTCTCACTTTCTGCCTTCGTTTGCCTTGTGTAAGCCTCACGTGCTCTATTCACGCTGGTGTCCAAAGAAAAGCAAGACAAGCAGATAGAAAAGGAACAACATATGGTTTCACTTTCCTATAGTATCTTTGACTAGTTTTGTTATCAGAGAAATTCTGACCTCAAAATAGGTTGGAAAGTATCCCGGGAAAATGTTCTTTCAGTGGCAGTTGCCCTGTTGAGATTTCACCTTTTGCACACACAACATGGGATTTAGATGAAGATGGAAGAAGATGCTTACATGTATTGCCATTCCCTTCTTTCTCTCCATGGGTCTGCATCACAAGCTAAAGTGATGGTCGCTTCACAGTTTGGCCCCTTTCGTGCACGTTTTCGTCCATCTGCCTTTCTCCTTTTAGGGCCCCGTTTCTGTTTTAGGATCTGGTAAATAACTCCATGGTCAAGACTGTAGCAATCATCAAAATCGTCCCATCTCACCCATTTCATTGGCATTTTGTCAGGCATCACATTTTTGAAAATGTATTGCTTAGGATAATTTGGATTTTGTTGGTGGGAGGTAGCGGGGCTTGGGGCACCACTGGAAGTGCTCAAGGCTTACTACTGGCTCTGCATTCAGGAATCACTCCTGACAATGCTCAGTGGACCATATGAAAAGTTGGGATCCCAAAACTAAATTTCTTTTTGAACTGTTACTATCAAATTTTCATCATTTGGGAGCGGGAGACATAGCACAGCGGGTAGGGATCAGTGCTGGGGATCAAGTCTTGCATGCCAGGCAAGGGACCTCCAGGCAATACTGTCCCTCTGGCACTGAAAAGGTCTGGTATCACTAAAATAATTGTTTTGTTTGTTTTAAATTTTTCCTTGTTTTTCTACCAGGTCTGATACATGTTACTCTGTAAAGGGAGAGACAGTAAATTCTCCAAATAAATTTGAAGTGAAATCCTCCATGGCCCCTTGCCCGTGACTGACAGATGTACTTAAGTTAGAATTCTATTCTCTGATATTCTCTGCTTTCTGATTTGCTAGCTGGACTTCTGATTCTGCTCTGTAAACTGTCCAATTTCTAGTTTCTTTAGGCTTGAGGCTTGCCAATGAAAAGTTGGGATCCCAAAACTAAATTTCTTTTTGAACTGTTACTATCAAATTGTCATCATTCGGGAGTTGGAGAGATAGCACAGCAGGTAGGGCGCTTGCCTTGCACGCAGCCGACCCGGGTTCAATTCCCAGCATCCCATATGGTCCCCTGAGCACTGTCAGGAATAACTCCTGAGTGCAGAGCCAGGAGTAACCCCTGTGCATCGCTGGGTGTGACCCAAAAAGCAAAACAAACAAATTTTCATCATTGCTTGGAAAACCTCATAGATTTTTTATCTGGATACACAAATTTATTCCTGCAAATCTTTTTAAGCCCTTCCATATTTGGTCTATGAGTAAAGTAGAATAGCATCACCTTACATTTCTTCTGAATACATTTGCTTTGCTGAGACAATCTTGAAAATCTTAATTCTTTTACAGTTCCCTCCTTTAGCCTTTTATATTGGGCTGTGGAGAAGGTCACACACATTTGTTCGAAGAGCCCAGCTGTGACTTCAGACACATTATAATAGTGTGTATATGTTTTATGCTAAAATATATAAAGTAAATATAAATATTTCAATTTAACCTAGAGAGTTCCTAATTTTTTTAGTACAAGCTAGTCAGTATGTAAGAGATTTAGATCTTTAGATATATCAAAACACAGAGATCTACCTACCTAAATGAATAGAGTCTGTTTTGATATCCTGCCTATTCTCATTAATACAACATCATGAACAAATTCCTATGTCAATCATTTCCACAACATGATTTCAAGTAGTACATACTTATCAGTTGATTGTAGTATGTCTTTCTGCCTTTATAGGTTTCAATATTTTGTGTACTTAGTTGGGTGCTGACGATCACCTACTCATCAACCCACGTGAGCTTTTGAAGCTCTCCATTTGGGATACAGAAGATTATATTTCTCATTTGAATGAAAGTGTTTCTTGTGGCAGAGGGAAAATAACGATGCTTTGAAAAATAAATCGGAACCAACATCATTTGGATTTAGAGAGATTACAAATGTATGCACCAGATTTTATTCAATTGGCACTTTGTGTTCTTCTTGAATTAGAGTAAATGTTTTTATTTTTTTCCATTTCTGAGGTTCGAGTTTGCGACTTGGATGCATGCATAACTCAATGTTCCTACAGTTAGATTCCCCACAGGCTGCTTGGCCAAAGTGGGTTTGGTTAGAAAGGACATTCTCATTGACCTGGAAGAACTTGTGTTTTTATCAGTTTATGTCAACTGTAAAAAAAAACAACAGGCATCAGCATTTCTCAGCATTCTTTTATGAATTCCTTCTGTTTAGGAATGAAAACAAATTAAAATATAATGTTTTATTTTAAACATCCCCACATTGATGGAACAAAAAAATTACCAAATGTGTATAATCCAATTAGAAACAAGTATTATTGCGTTCCCAAATTTTTCCAGATGGCATCCTTCTTAGAGAAGATACATTTTGGAAGAGCTGAGATGGTAGGAGCAGGCATGACTGGGAGAACATTCCCTTCAGCTCATGAATTCCTGGGACTCGAGGCAGTATGAAGACAGTGATTTTCTGTGTTCTGTCTAAGAACATGGTAAAACAGCTGTCCTGAGTATTCCAGCTGCCACCACGTGCTATTCATTTTGCCTTGCCCTTCATTTTCCTCTTCTCCCCTTCTGTTTGGTTTTTGTGTGGGTCACAAAATTAGGATCACTAAACAAACTACAAGTTTAAGTGTCTGCAGATACAAAATGAAAAAGGAAAAAAAAACCACATGAATTCTGGAAGACAGAAAAGCCAGCCACATATTTTAATTTAATCCTGGTGTAACTCTGTAGCTTTGAGCATTACTGACTTAATTTCCACAATGTGAATTTGAATGTTGGTGATTTTGTAAATTTCTATAGGCTTTATGAAAAAAAGTGATACGCATATTTTTTTCCAGAAATTCAAAAGTAGAAGTTCTAGATGATCTAGTTATCCTGTCTTAGATAAATAGCCAAAGAAAGCAAAAAAATTAATTAGAAGGGCTGCATAGACTCCCGTGTTTATCGAGGCGCTGTTTACTACAGCCCAAAGTTGGAAATGACCTAAGTGCCTGCTGACAAATGATTGGAAAAGGAGATGTGTGGCAATGCACAATGGAAACTACTCAGCTGTAAAAATGATGAAAGTTTGCCATTTGCAGCAACAGAGAGAGAGATCTAGAATGTTCCGTGGCTAATGAAGTCAGTTGGAGAAAAACACATTTCTGAGCCATATGTTTCTTT